GAATTAGAAAGACCTGAGAGATGATATTCATTACACCTGAATGTGAGTTTCTCTTGGCAGTTTAGGCAGTCACACTTCTTTCCCTGCCTGTTACGTTGGCGGTCAGCAATTTTCTGATTGTTGGTTTAAAGCTGACGGAGCTCGAAAGGAACCTGAGATATTTGTGGAGTCTGATGGTCGGGAATGTGGTTGTTTGTGTCCTTTACCTTCCCTTGGGCTCCCTCCCTCCCTCCCTTCCTGTTTCTTGGTCTCTGTGGATCAGCTCAGGTGGAGCTGGCTGCCTCTGGCTCTTTCTGCAGCTGGTTCACAGAGGTGAGTTGGCTCCAGGCTGTCTGTCTTTCAAACCAGGGAAGTGTCACATCCCTAGCATATGATTTTGGCAACCGATCTGTGCTCCGCAGTCCGCAGGGGTAGGTGTGAGCATCCCACCCTGACACAGCTCTGCTCTGTGCACTCTCCCCTCCAGCCCGCCGGCGCAAAGGGCCACCATCCCCTGGTCAGGACCTGCCACGTCCGACCCGTCCCCAGTGCTGTCCTTCATCCTTCCCCAGGGAAAGTCAGAGAAGGGGAAGGCCAGCCAAGAGCCAGCAGCTCCATTTGCGGGACCTGCTGCTTTGGGCATCTTACTGGAGCCAAAGCAAAAGATGGTGAAGCGGGACCTGGCCTGTGCCAGCACCAGGGCCCTGCAGTGCTGTTAGAATCGTAGAATCTTTAAGGTTGGAAAAGACCTCTGAGATCATCAAGTCCAATCCTCAACCCAACACCACCATGTCTACTAGATCATGTCCCGAAGTGCCACATCTACACATTTTTTGAACACCTCCAGGGATGGTGACTCCACCACCTCTCTGGGCAGCCTGTTCCAATGCCTGACCACTCTTTCGGTGAAGAAATTTTTCCTAATATCTAACCTAAACCTCCCTGGAGCAATTTGAGACCATTTCCTCTTGTCCTTTCGCTAGTTACTTGGGAGAAGAGACCAACCCCCACCTCACTACACCCTCCTTTGAGAGCTGTTGCGATGCATCTGGCACGTGCTCCCTCTTCCCTTTGAGCTGCAGGCTTGCATCAGCCCAGCTTGAAGGCCTTGGCTGCCTTCTTGGCTGGCCAGAGGACTGTGGGTCTATCTCTTACCCACATCATCTCTTTTGCCTTATTAGCTGTGCAGCTGCCCCGTTGACAGCGGTTATGAAGACAGCAAGCAGAGGGCATCGGCTGACCCCTGTGAGGACAAAACTCAGGGGCCTTTGACAGTGGTGTTGGTAGGGATGGGGCTCTCCTGTGCTGCCACAGCCCTTGCTGTCCCCCAGCCCCTCTGTGTGTCACAGGGGAAGGCACTGTCCCCAGAACAATGAGGCAAATCTGCCCAAGGTCGCTGGACGGAGCTGAACGCAGACCGAGCTCTGCTGCTTCCAAGCTGCGTCCAGACTCAGTGATCTTAAAGGTCTTTTCCAACCTAAACGAGTCTATGATTCTATGTTGCTCTTGTACCAGGTCCTTTTCTCCTATCGATGATTCAGAGTGTCCTTCCAGCCTCACTGAGCATCCTCTGTCCTCTCATCAGAGGGAAGGGTAAATGGAAGCCCTTCTCTGGCTTCTCATTATTGCCAGCGTTATTTTGTATAGCTCCATCAAGCTCTCCACACATTATCTCTTCTCTAAATTTAACAGGCTTAATCTTTTTGATCTGTCCTTTCACAGGCACCTTCATCTGCCAGTAATCATTTTTGTTTCCCATCTCTAGAACTTTTCCCTCCACATCTCCTTGCAGGGCAGGCAGAGATGTAACCAGGGAATGCAGTCACAGCAAGGTCACGCATTCCCTTAGATATTGTCACTACTAGTTTTAGAGCTATTTTTGATATATTTCTTACCACGGTTTCCCATCATGTTTTTTGGTTGCAGGCTTACTTGATCATTCTCCCATCTGCACCCTGAGCAAAGTGGTCTATGAGCTGTTGGTTATAGTCTTTCGCCTGTGTCCTCTCTGGTCATTCAAGAGGCATCAGTCACATCTTGGCCAGTGGCAAAGCCCTGCCTGGTTCTTCAGGGCACCTTTACCAGCCCCTTCTGACACCTCTAGTCTGAACTAACCCAAATAGTTGAGTGTTGCTGGTAGATCTTGACTCCTTCCTCGGCTCACTCTCACACTGCTGCTGCAGGCATCTGAGGATCTCCTCCCCACCTTCTGGATGTTCAACAACCCTCAGGTTCTCCCATTCCTTTGCATCTCTTTATTGCTTCTCAGGGAGATCCTGAGCCATCTCTCCCTCTGCATCTATTTTTGTAAGGCCAGAGGAGCACGAAGGTCTCCATATGTGACCCTCCGTGGCCCTGCAGCGGACGGGGGGAAGCTGCCGTGCCTCCTTGGCGCTTGGAAACTCTGCCTCCGTAATCCCTTAAATAGCCCGAGCAATACTATTTGCACAAGTACCATGCAGCGGATTTGGGAGATTTCTTCTGCCCTCCTCTGGAAAGTGGGCTGGAGCAAGTGAAGTGCTCCTGGAGCTTTGTGATGCTCTGAGGCCGTGCCACCTCTCTGCTGTGCCTGCACAAGGCACGTGGAATTTTTTTGAAGACTCATTTCAAAACAAAACAAAATGTTATAATAATTAAACTGCTGCAGTCTCCCCTTGAGGGCTGCTGGGAGGACCATAATTCAAGGAAATTGTGTTTTTCCTTTGCTATTGAGCCAACTTTGCTCTACAGCAGTCTGTTCGGGAGGTGCCCTGGTGCCACGGGAATACAAAAAACCTGGCAGAAGTGGGATGCTGAGACCACAGCAGAGTACGAGAGGGGCTGGGCCGTGGCCTCTGCTTTGATGGCTAAAACCCTCTGTCCGAAATGGTCACTCATGCTGCTGTTGAGACTCTGCCGTATGCTCCCGGTTGCACCCTGCACCCTTGGCTGGTTACACCGCAGCTGGGACAGCCTCTCACCACTGGGCCACTGTCCCCGAACGTGGCTGCTGGCAGGGTCAGACCCTGCTCACAAAACACCCTCGCGCCAGCAGGACTCTCAGGACTGGGATTTGCAGCGGTTCCAGACAGCCTGAGGTGGGTCCTGCTGCCCTGTCACCTCTGACAGCTCTGCTAAGCCGTGTTCACTTCTGCCACCCAGGGATTCTCCACCAGCTCGCTCTTCTCCTTCTCTCTACTTGATTTCTCACGAAGGTCACCTCTCGGTGATCTGAACGGTGTCTGTCACACCACAGACCTCAAGACAGCCAGGGTTGTGATCAGGGGTCTCTCCTGGCCCGAGCGGCAGGATTTCTCTCTGTCTTTTCTTCCCCATTCTTGTGCCCTCTCTGCTGAGGATGTCCTCGTGGGGATGCCCAGACAAGCCACGGTCGGGTTTTATCAGCGCTGTGTCTGACACGGTGGCACGGCCGCTCTGCCCTTGGTTCCCACCAGCCCTTCACCGGATGCACTAGTGGAATGGAAACCTTGTCTCAGGAAGACAAAGTTAGAGCAGTGGATGTCTTGACGAGGGGTCCTGTTAACCTTGAAGCCTCAACGGTTGTTGGATCGGCCATCTGGATGCCACAGGCTAGCAGATACCAAGTGGGAGTGTGCACGCGAGTGTGCAAGGTGCTCGCGTGTGTGTCAGTCCTACCGCCGCAGCCCCTGGCCTTCCCTCTCAGCTGGCAATGCTGTGCCTGGAGAGTAGCTGGTGCGAGCCTGGTCCTGTGCTCTTGTGAGCTTCACCGTGGCTGTGGCATAAAACAGAGGCGATGTCCAAGCACGGGAGCTGTGCTGTGATTTCTGGACCAGGTGCTGCCTCCTCAGCCCAGCAGCTGGCTTCCCCTCCCTGCCGGAGCCGTCGCTGGATCTCTCGTGCTTTATGCTGAGCTGGGCTTTGCTGGAGTTGTCCCGTTGTCCGCTGTTTCACCCCAGCAAAGTTCAGGGTAGCACTGGTGGAACCTTGGGTGGCAGCGCAGTCGCAGCCTGCCACGTTGAAGTGGCAGTGGTTAATCGTGGCTTCTCATGGGAGTAAATGATTTTAAGAATCTGGAGAATTAATCCCAGTGCTCTGAGGCTTCCTTGACCCAGCAGCAGAATGAGATGGACTGAGGTGAAAGGATCGTTTTAACTCTCCGTGTTTTTAGCCTTAGAAATTCTTCCTGCTCCCTCTTTTCTCCTCTTCTCCAGGACGGAGGTGAATTATTCAAAGGAGCGTCTCCTTCTGCTTGTATTGCAGCATAAAGAAAATAAGACTGTGTTTTGACAGAGCTGAACAGAAGCCTATGGTTAAGCAAAGATACAAAAGCGTTTCAAAGAGGTGACTTATCAGAAGCAGGGTGAATTGTGGTATGGGAGTGAGGAGGAGTGGCGCCGAATGCCCTAGAAACAAAGAGAAAGAGGAGCTGGGATGAAGGGGGAAATGCCAGATGAGTGCTGTGAACATGGCCAGGCTGTCAGGGAAGCTCCTGATTGCAGCAAAGGCCCTGGCCCCAAAATGAAAGCTCTCAGGAGCAGCTGTGGAGGAAATGGGAGGAGAGGAGAGATGAAATCCAGCTGTCTCAGATCCTACAGTTCACAGAGAGTTGGAGACTCTGGTGAGTTACTCAAGCTGAACCCTCCCTGCTGTACACAAAGATCCAGAGGTTCGGGGCTTCCACAGATGGTTCCTGGCCTCCCAGATCAACAGGAGGCGTTGGGGCTAGAGGTCTCGATGTTCTTTGGGGGCTGTTTTAACCAAGTTGCTCTATGGATCTGGTTAATGGAGGACACTGGGCAGATTGATCTGACTTGGGATGCTAAACAGACTTGTCCAGGCTTCACGGCCTGGTCCTTCACTGGCTGTCAGCTTGAGTGCTTGGCCTCCAGCCACCAGCACTTGGCCCCTTTCCCTCATTTTTCTTGATCCCTCCAATTGCTGCGTCCCTAGTTTGGTGGTGGGTTAGACTGAGTAGTGCCTCCCTGGCTGGGAGAGGAAAGCAGACTCCGAACAGGAAAGCCCCCAGGGCCTGCCAGGCTCACCCCATCCTGACTCTACAGGTAGGAGACCAGATCCTGGAGGTGAACGGCAGGAGCTTCCTCAGCATCCCCCACGACGAGGCGGTGAAGCTCCTCAAGTCTTCCCGCCACCTCATCATGACGGTGAAGGACATCGGGAGGCTGCCCCACGCCCGCACCACCGTGGATGAGACCAGGTGGATAGCAAGCTCCCAGATCGGAGAGACCCTCGTCAGCTCAGCAGGGTATGTGCTTGGTACATCTTGGGCAAGCTTGAGGTGTAGGGCTGCCGACCCAGAGCTCCCGTAGGGAGATGGCATCACTGGCCTGTAAGGTGGATCAGGTCTGGACAACACGCTGCTGCCTCTTCCCTGTTCTCACCCAGAGAAGCTGTGGCTGCCCCGGGCTCCCTGGCAGTGGTCAAGGCCAGGTTGGATGGGGCTTTGGGCAACCTGGGCTAGTGGAGGGTGTCCCTGCCCATGGCAGAGGTGGGACTGGATGGGCTGTGAGGTCCCTTCCCACCCAAACCAGTCCAGGATTCTCTCAGGCCAGAAGCTTTTGGCTTACAGTCACAGAGAGGAGAGCACAGAACAGATCTTGTGCCAGGCCTCCAGTGATGGATGGGTGATGGGCACGTGATGCGTGCTCAGTGGTAACTGATCTTCTTCCTCCTCGCAGGGCAATGGGCGACCGTGCTGCGGAGGCGACAGCCAGGGTAAGAGATATCAGGCCTTAAATATGAAAGGGATGCTAGTTTTATGAGAACTGGTGGGTTTTAACTGGCTCTAGCTTTTCTCCTCCCCACCTTGTGTTGCCAGCTGTGTTTCTACCCAGTGACATAATGGGTAGCCCCTCTCCTGTGCCGCTGGTGGGTCAGTTCTGCAGCACGTCTGGTGCCTTCCAGCCTGGGAATGATCACATTAATGGGCAAGGGTCAATAATCACACACGGGCAAGGACCATGGGGACTCCCTCCACCCTGCAGAAGTGACCATGATGCCTTCCGCATGGTGGGTCTCTGGGCCATGACAGCTCCTGGGACCTTTCCCACCCCAAAGCAGAGCTGAGCCAGCCCTCTCCAGCGCAGCAGCCCGCGACAGGGCTGCAGCAGCGGCAGCGGCTTGCCCAGTGCTGTGACTGCAGCTCTGTGCCGGCATGTCTTCTCCAAACGCCTCTTTGTAAAGCACGTTTCTTTTAAATAGAAATGAAGCAGCAAGGTTTCACAGGTGGCTTTCGCTGATAATGCCTTTGCACTGTTTGCTGGCAAAACGTGCTCCCCAGCCTCAACTCTCCTCTTGATGTCTCCGGGATAGTCAGGGTCTTGCCTGGCTCCATATCCCTACGCTGACTGTGCCAGCACTGCCTGGGAGGGGAACAGCAAGGACTTGCTGTTAGAAATCCCTCTCAAAGAAAAAAGGCTTTTATCTGCAGCCAGACATGTCTCTCCCTGGGACTCCTCTGGTTGCCAGTGGCTCTTTCTTCCCCAAGGTCTGCTTCGAGCTTGCGGCGGGGGCAAAAGTGCCTTTTACACCAGATGGGAACCTTGCCTCTGCCAGGAGGGAATACAGCCTGCCCTTAAATCCGAGCTGGTCAAGGGACAGCATCCATGCTTGCTGAACAGAGCTGGGAAGCCGTTTTGTTTATTCAAGTGGTGCTGCATAAACTCGTGGCAGTGACAAGTAGTGACACTAAGTGAGCAGCCGTGCTGGTGGATCCTTGGGGGTACCTGCCTCCAGGCGTTTTCGGCATCTCCCTTCCAGTCCCGCTTTCCAACTTCGCCGCAGGTAGTTGGGTGAGAGCGGTGGTCTGAAACGCCGGTGGCTTGTGCTGGTAGGCAGAGCCCAGAGCAAGGGGGCAGTTCTTGGTCCTGCCTGTGCTGCAGGAGGGATGGCCGCGCTCCTTTTTCAGCAGCTGATTCCTTGGCACCCCAGCCCAAAGCCTGTCTCCTGTCTTCCCCAGCCCGTGTTTTACCGGGGCCTGGCCGGCTCCCAGGTGACGCTGAGCAGCATGGTGAACCAGACCCGAGTCATGCTGGAGGAACAGGCACGGCACCTGCTGAATGAACAGGAGCGGGCCACCATGGGGTACTACCTCGAAGAGTATAAGGAAGGCAACATCTCCGTGGATGCTCTGGTCATGGCGCTCTTCGAGCTACTCAACACGCATGCTAAGGTGAGGCCCACACCAAGGGCAGGGACAGTTTCTTGTGCCCGGTGGGCTGAGCAGAGCCACTGTCACAGTGTGGCCTGGTGCCTCTGAGGTTGTCTGCTCAGGGCCAAGGGTGAGGGTATGAAAGCAAAATCCAGACGTAGGAGATACTGGGGGAATCAGGTTGGTGTTCAGTGGCAGAGGAGCTTCTGGTAAAGGTTAGGACCAAAGGTCCTCGTGCGTTACCTGCTCGTACATCTCATCACCACTGTAGAAGAGCGCGGGAGGATGGGTCTTCGCCGACCCAGGAATATGGTCGTGCTCCAACCTCTCTTTGGTTGTCTGTCTGCCTGGCCCAGTTCTCACTGCTTTCAGAGGTGCGGGGTGTGATCTCCCCGCAAGACCTCGACCGCTTTGACAACCTGGTGCTGAAGAGAGAGATCGAGTCCATGAAGGCACGTCAGCCCTCGGGGCCCGGCATCGGCACCGGCTCCTACTCTATGATGTCCTACAGCGACACCGTCTCTTTTTTTCCCCGCCACAACCGTCAGCTCAGCCCGGGTGAGTCCCTCCTGGCTGTTCCGTTTTCTTTCAGCACTTGCTCCTGGCAGCCCTACAACAGCCTCACTTCCCTGGAGTGCTCTGAAAGCACTTCACCCCTCAGGAAACCCTGTTCACTCTGCTTCCCCGATGGATTCCCTCAAAGCTTTTTTTTTTTTTTTTTTTTTTGGTTTGTTTGTTTTTTCCCTCTCCCCC